CTCGTATTAACCTTGTTGAGTTTTTCCTGTACGTCACTCTTATAGTGTTCAATATTTTTAAAATCCATTAGGCTAATATAAAGTTCTTAGATTTTTTTCATTACTTAACTTTATACCAGAAGAAAAAAAAAGTATTTTTTCAAATGAGTATCTGCATATTTCATTTATATGAAACAAACACTAACACTACTTATTGATATAGCATTTTGTTCTCAAATGCTAATATTACTACAAAACCTGGATGTTTGGAACAAACAAATGACCACAGCTAATATTTTGAATATAGCAATAGCATAAGATGTGTCCTGCCAGTAAAAATAAACTTTGTTGGATTTCAATGTCCCATTCAGTAGCATATTTCAGATACCAAGGAAGCAAATTTTCTCATAAAAAGATGTTGTCCTCTAAACCGATACAAACAGTTTAAGACAGTCTACAAATGCACATATCAAATATAGACATAAAGTTACTTTCCTGAATGTCTGGCAAGATGCTTCAAGTTTTATAGTTACAGATTTTTCAGGATATTAAAAATTGTTTTGCCATGAATGAAATATTTTCAAAGAGAAGGATTTAGGTAACAGATCTAATGATGGCCTGCTTCACACTAACTGTTCCACAGCATGTGCTTAGATACTTTGTAAAAATTTTCTCTTCACTCAAAAATCTCTTAAATTCAGAGTTGTAACTTTACCTTCACCCAAATCCAAGAGCTACAGAAATACCAGCCAAGATGAATCTATTTAACACAAAACTGAAGCAATTTCAGTTAAGTCCATAATGTCTTCTCTGTGAAAATATGTTTTTAATTATCCTTCATGATGTTTAACTGTTTTTTTTTTTCACATGGTTGAAGAGTTTCTTCTATTCACTCAGTAAGACAGTATTGTATGGGTTTTGAGTGTAAAATTTATTCCAATTGCATTTCTAGTGATGTGATACTGTTATATCCTTTAAAAGATATGTATCATCTCTCATATCCCTCTAAAAATATGAAACATTTTATTTTAATAAAAATAGCAGTTAAGTGGTTATTTATAATGAGTCTTTCTCTGATCTTTTTTAAGTACAAAATGTTTACATTTGTGACATGCAACAGCTGTTGAGATAAATGTAAAAATTTTTGTAACATCAAGCAATGAAATGAGCACTCAACCCTCATACCAACAGATTAACAACACTGTAACTCAAGTGTTTGGACACACTTTTGGCTTTATGATATTTAGTTATTTCACTTTGTTCTCCTTATGCAAAGCAACAAAGAACTATGTATTCAATTCCATGGAATAATTGAAAAATGCATCACCATGCATAAAAGGTTTATTTTATGCCTGCAATTCAGTATCATCAACTTAGATTTCTAGACCAGGGAAGCCACCTGCTGACATTCATCGGCATTAATCCACAGTGTTTATCCTTACCAAGTCTGTACCAGAAGAAACTGGAACTATCCTGAACTATGGGTTGTCATGTCTCAAAACTAAGATGCTCAAAGCTATAGAGCAGTTTTATAAATCTATCTTTATGCACTGCATTTGAATATCAACACTCCTGGGTTTTTTTTAGGGTGGTGATGGTGTTCTAAATTCAAAAAGCTTGTTCCTGAAGCCATTAAAGATTCCTGAAAATTTTACTTATCTTCCCCCAACATACCTGCAGCTGCCATTACAAACTGCTCTGTCTTTATGGCTTTTGTTAGTTGGCAGTACAATTTGAGATAATTTTGATTAGAAGTCTTCCATGTTAAGAGTACAATAAGTATGTCTATATAAACAGTATAGATAAAGAAAATATGAGTACTTGTATCTAAAATTGTGATAGATAAGTACCTGAACAAAGTCAATCTTGATTTTAAGTTCAGCTAATACAAAATACAAGAAACTCAATCTGCATAAGGTTTTGAAGAAAACAAATGCATAACACAATAGCACAGCAGAGAAATACAGAACTTACACCTTGATTTATATTAAATTAAAGGAACTACAAATGACAAATGGAGTAATCATGGAAGTAAATAATGTTAACACATCTAGTTATATTTCTTAAAGATACTTTTGTACGGCTTTTTTAATATTTACCATCACACAGTAGAACTCTAAATACCTACTGATGCATTCACTGTAGTGAATGAGTTGTAACTAAAGTACTCTAAAAGGTTTCAGTTCAGATATTGTCTAGAATTACAATCAGCAAACATTTAAAATGTTTTGGAAGATGTATTAGATTTCAAACTCTTCTTCTAAAAAAAAAAAAACAACCAACCAACCAAACAACCCTGCAATTTATATTGCTTCCCAAATTAAGACTTACAGCTAAGTAACAAATTTAACAGATTACACTTACAACAGATTCCCAGAACACCAGCAATATGATCTGAAGCCTCATATTGGAACTATTCAGTAAAAAACTGCATATACACTACAATGACTATAATTTAAAGCTGTTTTGTGGTTTTTTTTTTTTCTTTTTTAGATATAAAAGGTCTGGAGATTCACAGTTACGTTTCTGGAAACGTTAGTCCATTAAAATAGCCAGGAAATTGCATTTCTTTTGCACTTGTACTTTTAATATTAGAAAATTCTTCATAATACTATGATTCAATAAAATAATATTTTCTAAAATACACTTTTTGCTTTAGGTAAGAAAACTAAAGTCTCCTAACTTCACTCTCACGTTATCAAACATTACCAAAATGTTGCGATGTTTAAGTTGCAGCCATTCAAAAAAAAAATCTGTATAATGTTTGTTTGTTTTTAAAAAGCTTCAAGCACATATTGTGACTAGTACTAGAGAAGCTTTGCAACTTAATTCTTTACAAAAATTTAGACATTAAGTCTAATTTTGTTCAAAACAATATCCTCTTAAGATTGCTTCACTAAGAAGTTCCTAGAGATCTCCAAAACTGGCTTTACAAATTTTGCATGTATGTATGCATACAAGCAATGGAAAATAAATCTTTAAATAGACATATTCATAAACATTTAATATATATTAACAGACAATTGCTTGACAAAAATATGAAGTAAGACTTCTCAGTGCAACAGTCTGGTTGCTAGACTGGTTAAACCACATAAAATATTTTTGTGAAAGTTCTTTCTACTTTTCAATCAAAAAACCCCCAACACTGTCTCTATATGAATTTCCACAGTCAAACCCCAACTGGAAACCTTTAAAATTGTTAAAAAGAACATTCATGACATGAAAGAAAGTATGTGCTGCTATCTTCTGATAAATATTTGAGTCAAATTGTATTATCACCCAGTTGAAATGGACAGATGAAAGAAGACATCTCAAAACACTGAACAAGAATTTTCTCCAGCTACTGCTTAGCTTTTGTCACTGTTAAATACCTCGTAGAGCATGCTTTGCAAGCAGACATCAAATAGAACCATTCAAAGATACCACCTTTGACTGCAAGGCCAGGTTTGAAAAAGGCAAACAATAAAAAAAACCCTTGATACTGTATTTTTTTTCTCTTCAGTACACAATAGTTATGTTAAGATCTTCAGAGAAATGAATCAAAACAAGCACTACAGTACTGTACTACTCTTGCAGCGTCAACACACAGGAGAAGGAATCAGTACCAACAAATGTCATACACCTCCAAGCATCATTTCTGCAGATAGCCTTAGGAAGAGTCAATGACTGTAGTTTGTGTATATACATTTAGCAGCTTTAGTTAGATTTCTGTGACAAGAAGTGAAAGTGTTCCCAATAGATGCTTTAGCCTCAAAGTAGACTATCTTACAACATTTCTACAGAACGTAAGAAATTCTTCACTATGAGGGTGGTGAAGCACTGGAATAGGTTGCCCAGAGAAGTTGTGGATGCCCCATGCCTGGAAGTGTTTAAGGCCAGGTTGCAGGAGGCTTTGAGGAACCTGATCTAGGCGAAGGTGTCTCTGCCCATGGCAGGGGGTTGGAACTTGATGATCTTTAAGGTCTCTCGCAACACAAACCATTCTATGATCTATGACATGGATCTAGAATGAAATTGATTTATACATTCTACATAATACTTAGTTACTGGTTATACAAGTAATATATACATTTAGGAAAAGAAAGTGAACAAATATTTAAGAAAAGTAACAAGCAGCAAGATGCAGGCAAGAACTCATAATATTTTTAACCCAGAGTAGACTGCCGGTCTATGGAGATTAATATTCCATATCTTTAGGATGTTTAAAATGTTGAACAGCAGCAGCCTAGTAATTGCACCTGCTCAGAGCCTTTACATAAAAGAGGATCAAAATCTGTGATCAATCACTTTGAAACTAACAAATGATACACCTGTCTAATTTAATTCAAAGAATTAATTACCTCAGACATTTTAATGCTTTAGGAATTCCCATTATCAAAACAAGTCAGTGATCACTTTAATTGTATGACTTGCTACTTACTGATAAAAAGAACTATTTATTTTCCTGATCAGTTTTATATTTACTTAGAAGAAATGTTTACAAGGGAAAAATACCAAAAAAAGATTCAGTGCTGACCCAATCCTCTTTTTTTTTTTTTTTTTTTTTTACACATCCAAACTGAGCTCAAATATTGAGTTAAGAAATTTAGCCTTATCTGAACCAAGAAGAAAATACTGCATATATCTTTATCCTACAGAAACAACTACTGGGGATAATCCACTATAACACAAACAAAAAACCCTACCCCATTTAGCAATTCCTCCAAAAATGACAGGCATCTTTTCAGGTTACTTCAGCAGCTTTTCAACTAAACCAGTTTGACCCGGCTTACCAACCTCCTTTACGATGTCAACTTGACACGGACTCTGGCATCACAAGTTACCAAAAAGTTGAGTTTCATGGTCATACATATTGTCTTCGAACACCATTCACATAACATTTGAAGAAAGTGAGATTCAGAAAAGCTTTTAAATTGATAGCGCATAGAGAATGCATTTCTTTTTTTGTACATACAAAGGCATTCCGTGATTCTCCAAGAAAAAGGAGGAGCTTAACAAACAGTACATTGAGTTAAACTGACCTTTTGGAGTCTTCTATTTTTTCTTAACCCCCCATTGTGCTTATTCTTTGGTTCATTAAAAACTTTGTAAGAGCCATCAGTAACATGACACTCTGAAACTTCATTTTCATCACCTAGAAACCAAATTTAGAAACTTGAAATGAAAAATGCAATTTTGTGAAATGAAACTGCCACAAATTATTTCATCATAGTACATAGAGCTATGTACAATTAAGATATCTAAGAGAACAATTTGTACCACTCATTTTCCCATTATATTTCAGTTATGGAAAAAAGAACGACATTCAAGAATCTGATTTCATCTTTCAGTATCTGATCTTGTAAATAAACTAGTTGTAAAACTCCTAATTTCCAATATTTTGAAAACCATATATTAACCACAAGTAGACAATCTCCTAAATTGCTTTCTATTTATTACAAAATTTGCAATTTCTCTGAATACAGACCTATTGGACAGTTTGAAGCAGTGGTGGCTAGAGTTTTCCTTTCTTCTTGAAATGTCAATGCTTTCAGTACACGCAGTGTTTATTTGAAATGACCTGAAGGTCTGAAATATATTTTTAAACATTTTGCAAACAAATCTAGCAAGCTGTTAGCAGGCAAGTATTGCATGTGCATGCAGGCATATCAGTCTTATTATTTATAATTATTTATTAAAGGCAGAAGAATGTACTCTATTGTGGCTGCCAAAAAGCAGTAATTTTCATCACCTATTTTGTGAATTAACATATATTTAATTCTTCAACATTGTCAGGATGACTTTTATAAGCACTAAATAATAAACTTTCAAATAATTTGCAAAATTAGCTTGCTTGCATAAGATGAAAAACTTTGATCTATTTTTTCATCAATGAAGTTTTAATTACTGAAGATTTAAGTAGATCATTTTTCCCAAATTTAATTCAATGGCGTCTACTTTAGGACATTCATTTCATTTCAAAGGAATGCATAGGACCAGTCAAAGAAAGTTTAATAATTAGTGATTAAAGTGGCCTAAATATAGCTCCTCCAAAATAAGCTGCTTCTGATTACTTCTGGAAAATACTGAAAGGTACTAACCATATTTACTACTCTGACTGCATATATAACTAAGAACCATTTGTTTTTGCTCTGTCAGCTACCTAAACTCATAATCCTTGAGGTGACAGAACAACAAATTACAACACAACAAATGATGACAAACATTTTCCATTACCAATTACTTATTTTAAAATTATAATCTTTAAACTACTCAAAATTTCATTATTTCTTCACAATGAAGTGGTAATTTTCACGTGAATTTACACAGTATTACAGTAATTTTTATGTAATACAAGTAAATCTGGCTTTCAGGTACAATCATTAATTTAAACCCAATATTTAAATACAAATACATTTAACAAAGGGAGAATTAATAGCTTAACTATGTTAATTTTTAATTTAGTATTGCACTGAGGCCCATCGTCTTCAATCACAGAGCAATACTGATGACAAGTAGAAGAGGAGAAAAGATCTTGCCACACAAATAAAAAAGCTAAGGCATGTAACTTTTAACTCCTTTTACTTGGAAAACAAAATTTTTAAACATATATTTGAATATTAAAAAAAGCCTAATTACCAAAGGACTGCAAAGGATGTCAGGAGGTCATCTCCTCCATCGCTATACCCCAAGCAGATGGGGGTGAAGCAAGGTATGTCTCTCAATCCCCAGTAGGTCATTTCAGTTATAGTAAAAGGTGTTCCACTCTTTTGGTTTTTTTTTGAAGGAGTGGCCTGATGGGGGCAGTCAGAAGCGGTGTAATATTCCTGGACCTCTTTCCACTTATGGTTCACTCTTGTTGGTTCTTCATATTTACAGGAAAGCAGGAACAGGGTCCGTCATTTCCTCTGATTATCAGCTTGGGGATCATACGTATTACATAGGTAAGGACTATTCTTTGTAATCTAGTTCCTACTTTTCTCTCCTGACTATCAGGACTTCTCAAGCAATTTGCAGCTTTTCCATCATGTAGGTCTCAAGTTTTACTGTCTATTGTCTGTTTTTCCCTGATTGCTTCTTTTTAAAGCAGTTGCTCAGTCACAAGTAAGGAGTTTTCATATATAGTAGCTTTTCCTAGGTTATTTCAGATAAGGTTGACATAACTTTTTTAAGCAATTCCATCCACTGTTAGTTATCCCTAAATTTAGTTCGAATACATAGCTAACTCATGCCACTGTAGTCCATTAGATCCTATAAATTCTCTTTTAAAATGCTGCTCAATGACTGGTATCAAAATCAACAACTCTGAAAGCCCTCTGAAGTATTATAACAAATTCAAGTGACTTTAATTTGCAATTTAACCTTCTACTCATTCATGATCATTTGTCACCAGTGAGAAGTTTTGAACCAGAATATTATCTCAAAATTCCATTCGGTATTTCCTTCGAGTTAAAAAGCAAAGTAACAATTAGGCATAATGAGCTAGTTTTTGTTCAACCAAATCAATCATGTCTATAATAAAAATGTTATCTATAGTATAGTGTTCCACTTAAAGAATATCATATCAAAGTGTAATTAAGCTATATCATATCTATTGTTTTGTAATTATCCACACATCCCAACTATGAAGAAAGTTAAGTCTGAATTTGTCATCATTACTAATCCTTCAGGTACGTACACACAGAATATTTAATAACTTGTGTTGTTATTATTATTGTAGTTAGTATTCTAGTACAGGCAAATTTTTGCTATTCAGACCACAATTTCTTCAAGTCTTACGAAAGCTTATGTGCCTACCAGGTTCTCAAAGAGAACCTGCTAAAGGTTTAAAACAATTTTGTCTAATTCGTTATGTGCTCTGAGACAAATGTCATCAGGCCTTGTAAATTTGACTACATCAAAATAATCCTCAATCTGTTTCTCTATTCAGAAATATTTGTCCTTTTTTTTTAATAACTGGTTACAATTAAACTTCTTGTGAAGCTAAACAAACAAGGAATCAAGCAAGAGTTTTCTTTTTCATCCCTCATTTGTTTTTTAAAAGGACATAAAATGTCCATACAATATATTTAGTGAGCTTTTCTTCCAAAACTGAAGAGAAAAAAAAAAAAGACACATCAAATCTAAGGAAGTTTTCACATGTGTGTTTTTAAAGACATAAACAGTATTTTAGCAGCTTTAAGCACCTAGAGCTTCATGAAAAACTTCATTTAAATTAAACTTCATCATTTTTGCACCAAATAACAATGATATTCCAGATTCCCCATCTTAAAATTGAATTACATTAATAACACTATAATGGGTCTTAGTTTATGTCTTTTGGCCAACTAAGATAATATTTGCTTCCCACATTCGCCATAAATATCTAAAATTCACTTAGCTAAGCCTTAAGTTTATTTTTAAGATTGAAAATAGTGCTAAGTCCCAGTTTAAATTTCTAAATGACTTTAGGATGATAAAAGCTTAAAAGAAGAGTGCCACTAATCTAAAAACACATGTAAAAAACTGGGCAAGAAATATGTTTGATATTTAAAATTTATACAGATATAATTAAATTTTATATGGATATTCGATTTATCCTAACTGTATATATATGATGGGTGAAAAGAATTTTTTAGCTTTTAAAAACAATATTAAATATTATTTAAAAACTGTAATATAATTTAAAAACTGTACTTATCAGTTTTCATATCATGCACAACATACAGAAAAACAGCAATTTACTGTTTATTTACTAATTAACAGGGACAAGAAATAACTTACATTCAAGCAAAAAAAGAGGAAATACTAAACCTATGTTTAATAAAAATCAAGTATTCCATCATACAGTGTCACAGTAGTTAAGTTTAAAACAAGATTTTCATTTTCTTTCACAGAACTTGCATTATTAGGGAAAATACAACTCATCTTACATTGATTCCTTCCATTTTTAAGTGAGCTCATTTGAGCTGTGAATTTGAGGTTTTACTTGATTACACAACAGATGCACAAAACTGAATACATTATACTCGGGAAACAGCCATCACTGATAAATCACAAATACTACTAAAATCACTAGAAACACAAATTGAGACTTACAGAAGTTGCTAACAAAAAGGATAAAAAGTATAATGATTGTATAACTTGTTTGCTGAACACTGTTCCTTTTTCTTCTCTTCCAAAATCTGTTATCTTAAACAAGATGTCCAGCAAGAAAATAAAAGCACAACATGCTAAAACATTGATCATACTTTAATCACTAGAATTTAAAAGTCAGAATTAAATCTAAAATTAACTGGCATGCCTAAGTTTAAAAGTAGTAAACATTTTCTCCTTCCTCATTTGTTTTCATGATTGCTTAATGAAAAACAGACTATTCTTTGACATTAAGAAATACATAATTTAAGGATCATCTACTACATTGCCACATGCCAAAAAGCACATACACTGGGTTCATACATTTATGGGTGTACATTTATATTTATGACATACACTTGCATCAACTTTTTTTTAAAAAACTGTGTTAGAATGATGCACTCCAGGTATTAAAATACCGATGTAGTGAACCCAAAATAGCAGCTCCCAGTTCAGCAACTTATTAGCCACAGCTATAGACACAGCCACCGTTCAACACTTCCACTGGAGGATTTCTCAAGTCTGATACCAAGTTTGTTGAGCCTTTTAAGTTAATAATTAATTTTATATAATTCATTGATGCACTGCTGCAGAATTTTCTAGGGACAACAAGTGACTAAAACATGTAATTATAATTACAAATATTTAAGCCTATGTAAAGCTTGACAAACAGAGCTTAAAATATAAAAATCTAAAAGTGATTACCCCAATGCAAGTTAGGAGCATTTTTCAGGGAAGTTCCTGAGATTCAACATTCTAGTATACATTTACACAACTTAGGCTAAACAGTCAAATATTTAAAAATCTCTTAAAATTATTATTAAAACCTAAGATCGGCTCCATGGTTGAAAAAGATGCTTACATTGCAACTCTTGCACATGCCCTCAAATGCTTTATTCAATCTTCATGATAGCAAAAGTTAGAAATTGCTGAGATTTTTTTTTCCACTAGGGATTTTATGCCCTTAACTGTAATTAAAGTAACTTGTGAAATAAAAATAATTTTAACAAGGGACCCTATGATGAGGAGTTATATATGAACAACTTACAAGAGTATCATAACATTTAAAACAGAAAGACCTTAGTTTCTTAAATAGATTTTGAATAGCAGCAGAAAGTTTACAGAATACCAAGCACTAGGGGAAAAGAAGGCTCACATATTTTAGTTGTATTTTGTGAGCAGTTTCCTTATTTCCTGGTGACTTCTTTGTGTGTACAATGTACGGTAAAACAAACGGGTGTTCTTTTGGATCCTATGCACTCATCTATTTTACTCGAAAATAAAGTCAATACTGCAGCATTTTCTTCTTTTGTTGTAATTCTGAAATATTTTTCCCTTGAAAATGGCAGTTCATTTTGCAATTTAGTTGTATATCTAAGGCAGTATGATATCTTTTCATTTTCCAGCTCTATGTAGTGACTTACCAGTAGCATGAGTACAGTAATTCACATTGGTTCTGCAGGATTTTTCATAAGCATAGTGAGGCAGCCTATCCACATTATCAGAGTCTAGATCTTCTGCAGTGTCAGTTTTTTCGCCATCTGACATATAATTTAATGGTACACTTCCAGAGCACTCAGCTGGTTTGAAGTTTTTCTTTACTGAAATATCATTTGCTGGAATAGACTTTTTCCTACTTTTCTTAGAAATACTATGTGGCTTAGAGAAACTCACATCAAGTGAGTCCAT